ATTTAAATAATTATATTAACTATCAACTCTAGAAATTTTAGCCGGGTTAAAATGACTGAAATTCCACAATTTTGGGACGTGTTTTCGGTGCTCCCGTTGGTCCATCCACCGTTGGTGCGCCAGTTGACGGTCACTGTGCTTCACAGCACAACTAAATTTAACATTCTACAAATTATGGTCAGGATTAAAATGATTGACTAAAAAAATGTCACTGGTTCCCGAGCTAATACCATTATCTTTTTTTCAAATTTGACTTATAAAAAGAACAAGCAGAAAAAAAAAAGATAACACAAGTCCTTCCTTGAAAAATCATTAATTGTCTCATCTTATTTTTCTTCTTCTTCTTCTTCTTCTTCTTCTTCTTGACGATAAAATTCTAGCCTCGTACATTTTTAAATTCGTTTAATATTTAATATTTGATTAATTAATATTCAATTAAACCCTCTTATCTGATTACTTTTTCATTTTGTTTTACGGTCTAAAAATAAACGTTATAATTGAATCCTAACGACCGATGAAATTGCAACCATTCGTAAAACATTCCCCAGCCACTTGATATAATTTCCTTTCTACGAGAATAAATTCATTGTGTACAGTATTGTGAAATCGGTATAATGTGTAATGAGCACGTTATTACGATACGATAAAGTCTATCCACTGTACATATTAACAACAAAACGAAAGAGAAAAGAAATGAAATGAAATGAAATGAAATGAAATGAAAAAGAGAATAGAATAGAAACAAACAAACAAACAAACAAAAAATAAAGAAAAGAAAAGAAAATAATCTAGAACAATATGAGTGAATTAAAACTATCGAAATCGTGAAGATTTTTACGGTGCTACGCTTGTTAGAGTCGAAGATCGATTATCGGTTTTATTTAAATAATAATAATAATAATTATAATAATTATAATAATAATTATAATAATAATAATTATAATAACAATAGTAATAATAATAATAATAATAATAATAATAATAATAATAATAATAATAATAATTGAGGAAAGCGCGTACGTGATACGAAAATTATCGTTTTATTTAATCGTTTGTAATTTAATCGACCGATCGAGTATATTTAAAAACATTTCTTCGTAACTAACGTAAAATAATTATTTTGTCGAAGGGTAGGAGAGACTATAACGATACTCGATCGATTAAATTTCAAAAAAAAAAGGCTTGTCCTTTTTCAAAAGTCTTTTTTTAAATCAAAAAGTAATTGTACCGATAAAGTATCGTTTAAATATTTTTGATTGGTTATTAACACACTCGCGACCGCTGACGTGAATTCATGTCATATTTGACATTTTAAAAATTTAATTAAAAAATAAATTTATATATTATATATTATATAAATTTATATTATTTTATAATTATTATTATTTTTATTAATATTTTTTA